TGACAATCGATGAATTGAGGTAGATTCAAAGGATGAGCAGAGCTAGCTTCAGGAAGGCTTTTGAACGAGTCTGAGCACTGACCAACAAAACCCTAAATAGTCAGAAGACGAGAACATGAAGAAAGAGGAAATAAAGAGTATCTGAGAGAAAAATGCTAAAAGAATTTGAAATGATGGAAAAAGGCGATTTCGCTTGCAAATGCATTTAAGGCAGGTGTACGAACGGACACGTGAAACCAGAAGGGATGAACGTGCGCAAGAAACGAGAAAAAAAAGACTCCTCACACGATTACAATACCGAAAAAATTGAGAAACGTCTCATCGTACAAATCCCAAGGGCAAACCTAACTATTCATAAGGTAGGTCAATCGACAAACCGAGCTGACCTCGCCCACCAAAGGGTCAGTCAACCCCCAACCCACATAAGACAAAGCCTACATTGTTAGGGACTGGGGTGCAACTAATAATACCCAAAATATGGCCAAGATTGAGATCAGGTATTTAGCTCGAACCTTCTAAGCTCGAATCACACAATTCACCACAGATAACCGGGGGAGTTTAGGTTGGCACCTCCTCCCCAGCAATAGCGCCCTCATAAGAATAGCAGGGATGACAGTTGACTTCTGCTTAAGTGCCACACATAAATTGTAATGGTCTTATATTTAGGTAAGGAAGCCGCAATCACCTCAGCGCTATCTATGACAATCACATAATAGGCGCAACCGTTACAGGGTGAAGGCAAGGATCATTCCAGAAGATTAGGCAAGGCCCTGGAAGGCTATAAGTAAGAGTCATATCCATCACAAAAAATAACAAACAACTAGCCTAAGAAAATATTCTATGTAATCTCCCCCTTTTCATTAATAAATTTTTTTTCAGGAGCAAGAGACTCCTTTGAGAGTGGATTAGTCGAACTCCCGAGCTGGTGAACCATTACAAACTCCCTTGTTTGCAATCCCCTATTGTACTTGTTCAATTCTTGAGAACCTATAAGCTCTGACTGGGTCTCCTAGTGATCCATAGACCCTTATAGGTTACAAATCTGCTCAATTGTACAACACACACCATCAGTTATATATGTTGATGTTTGAGGTTGGGGTTGGAATTAAATGTTTATAATTGTGAGTGATTATTCATGTAAATTTTGAAAAACATGTAGGATCATCTTATGCCATTATTTAAACGTGTTTTGGTGATGAAAGGGTGAATTTTGTGTGTGTTGGAAGAAAATGATAGTTTTGAGGTGTGTGTGCTAAAAGCATGTTTTTATGAGACTGTGACCGGATTACCAAGTTTGAATGACAATGAGATTGAAGGAATACTAGTATGACCGGTATTTGGATGTGCACATAAGGGCGAGTCATCAAATTAGTAATGAAAAATGATAGGTCTAGCTATTAGGCTAGTGAAGACAAACGACAGAGCCAATTATCAGGCTAATGGTAACAAAGATGAGATGTGGCCTAGTTATCAGGCTAAAGATAACAAATGTATTTGAAATTAAGTGTGGGTGAGTATTTGGGTTATAAATATATTTTCATTTATAAAGATATTTGTGAATATGAGATCGTTTTGTTCAAATTATTATGTGAGAAGTGATGGGGTACAATTTGTTGTACTGATATAAGTGTGTGACTTATTTTTACACCTCATTCAGGTGATTGCTATTTATGGACAGTCGTGCTCACACAAATATTTAATTCTTTGAGGACTTGAAGATTTATTCTATTGTAGGTCTTTCAGAATAATCATTGTTTATAGTTTTGAGATAATTGTTTAATTGTTTGGGAACAATTTTGTTTATATTTGGAGTTTGTAAGCCTTATGATTTGATTATGGTTTTACTTGGATTTAATAATTATATTAGATGATGTCTAGTTTATTTATCTGGTATTCATTAAATACGTGGAATGAATCACTTTATTATTTATTTTTCATTGTATTTTCTATTTATTATACGCAGGATTAGTTGGTTAAGGCTTTAGTGATCGGTCCATTGCCCATCCTACGTTATCCCTAGGTGGGGCATGACAATAGATTTTTCGTGTAATAATAGCAACAAAAAAGACTATAAAAAAAGAATATATGGGAAAAAGGAAGGAATTGAGAAGAGATTACTAATGAACAGCTTGGAATCAACTCAGATGGAAGCTCTTATACCTTTGTTCCTTCTCAAACAACCAAATTTAAGCTTTATTTGAATCGATCCAAATAAATATATATACACACACCATCTAATGTCTTATCAAACATTGAACTACAATAGTTATACTGATTGCCCATTTATTTACTTATTCTGAATTAACTTGAATTACCAAATTCAATCTTTTTTTTAAAAAAAAATATAAAAATCAAACGAGCCTATTGTATATTCTATACATATTGCATATTGTATGCAAATAAAAAGTCAAACTAAATCTTGGACAAAAATGAATTTAAGATCGAAAACAAGTTCAAGCTTGATTTGCATAATTATAAAAGTTATGTCTGAGTCGAGCGTAAGCTTCAACAAAAAAAAAATTGAGGATCAAATTTGAACAAACTATTCGAACATGTCGTGAACATGAATCAAATCCGAAGAATGGATAATGTCAAAGTTGGTAGGCATATACATAATCAATAATGGGTAATGTCAGTAGAAAAATGTATTCTTTGATTGCGTGATTGAAGCTCATCACAATAATGGATCTAGACACTTCAGATTTTCATGGAAAAAAGTGTAAATCCCCCCGACATACAACCGAAAACACAATGACATATAAAAAGACGGATACGTTTTTTGGTGATATTGCATCGAAAATTATAATTTTTTTTGAAGTTTTAGTTACAATTTTTAAAGGGCATAATTTATTATAAAGGGTTGAGATCGATATCGAAAGTTTATAATTGATCATGGATATCTGTGATCGATTATGACATTTTTTGGAGCAGTTATAACTTCTCATTTCAAAAATATAATTTTATCATAAAAATTGTAATTGGCGGTACTGTACCTAATTTTTTTTTAGTAACAAAGCCTTTCCCTAAAACGACTATCAAAATTAAAGTGAATCGAGAGAAAATAAGAAAAAATGTAGGAGAGAGAGAAGAGAAAAATAAGTGTGAACTAACAGGATTGTTTGGTATTAAGAGTGTGTTGAGTACCGTACAGAGAATGTGATATTTTTACAAAAAAAAAACAAATTAAGATGAATTTTATACTATTATAAATTAAAATTTTAATTTCATACTTGTAAAATTAGATAGAAGATAGACATCGGAGACACCTTTATGATGACACCAACCCATGCCACCGAACCCATGATGATCCTTCCATGTGACATTTGACATAAAAAAAAAAAGGTATGAAGGTAACATATTCTATGAAATTTTAATCTATTGAGATAATACTACAATTTAATATGATTAAAATTATGACTTAGTAAAATCTAAAAAATAAGATTTGATCATAAAAAAATATAATTCGACTAAATTGAGTCATAATTTAGCTTGCTAAATTTTAACTTGGTTTGATCCTATTGTAATTAATTTTTTTTTTATTCAATATTCAGGGGCATTNAAATATAATTCGACTAAATTGAGTCAAGATTTAGCTTGCTAAATTTTAACTTGGTTTGATCCTATTGTAATTAATTTTTTTTTTTGATTCAATATTCAGGGGTATCCTTATTAATTTATACACACCTCGATTAATCTCCTATTTAGTCCGGTTAAAAGCAGATTATTTATGTCAGGATTAGAGCTTCAAGAAGTTGTCAACATTTAAATTCAAAACATCTAAATTTACCGCTTGTTCATATTACCAATTAAACTACTTGAAATTGTAACTTTAAATACACTATTAAAAACTTTATATTCCTTACATTAGAAATTCCCTAAATTAAGATATGTCAAAAAAATCTCTCCAAAAAACTCCCCTTCCTTTATAAATATTCCAAATTTTTTTTTGAAACTTCCTTTCAATTCCCTTTTTTTAATTTCTTTCATAAAAAATTATAATTATTTTTTAGTTTTTAATTTTTTTTTCATTCTCTATTATACTGGAATCAATTGGTACTAACAAATTTAATTAAACTTAATTAAAATTGAAAAAAAAAAACTATTCATATGCAATTCCACATATTTAGTAAGAAGATCCAAACCTCAATTTCTATCAACTTATATTCTCAAATTTATTGAATTATCCGCAAGATGTAGCATGTGATACCCATGGTGGACAAATGGGATAATCCCCAATGTTAGTGATTTTTGAGTAATTTTATTATTTAAATCCAATTTATCTTTTATTGATAATACTATTTGTATATAATTTATTGACTTAATTCATTACTTTCTTTTATTAGTAATCGACTTCAATTAAGAATGTCAAAATATAACACAATCTGTTAACACAATATAAAATTAAAAAATTTGAATCTTTCTTAAACTAGGGAACTCGACACGATATAATTAAAAAATACATTATGTACGAGAAAAATTAATCAAAAAAAAATATGATACAATTTATTTATATATTAGTTTTATACGACACAATTCATTAGATACGAATGGATAAACGAATCAAATATGAGTAATTTAACAGGAATCTATTATAAAATCGATATGTACCCGCTTCCCCCAACACATTTGACGAGAATAGTTGACAAGTTAAAAAGGTAGCTGATTTAGTCCGTGAATTATACTCTAACTAATATTGCTCAAATTTATTATTAAATTAATAATAAATTTTAAAATTAAATAGAGTGAAACCATCACTCCAATAATAACTATAAGCCCACATCACACCAACAAATTAAATACTGATATCATTATTGCATTTAAAACCGAGGACCAGAGAGAGAGAGAGAGACGGCGCCGCAGAGGAGATCCCCAACCTACGCGCTTTCTGTATCCGACACAATCACAAAACAACACCACACACACACAAGATCACAAATGCACAACCTCTGTGGGTAGAGAGAGAGAGAGCGGTGAACACCGTACAGAGAGAAGATTTATAGATGGAGAATTGTTGGCGGTATAATGTCGTACTAACACTGTACTTGCCACTGATCGCAATTTTAACGATCACACAATCAAAAGGTAGAGAACTCCGGCCATCGGAACATGGGCTACCACACCAGCAAACACTAGCAACAACGAAACAAAACGACCCAGAAATGCTCTCCTTCTTTTCCGCAGCAGCCCCGAATGTGCCTTTGCCGGAAGCAAGAAACACGAGCGACCAATCATGGTGGAGCACCACCGTTGGCGGCGGCGGCAGTGGTGGTGGTCGTGGTAGTGGTGGTGGTGGGGATCATGTGAGGAGAGCGTTGTTGGTGGCCAGCTTGGTGTGTGGAGTCACGGGTGTCGTTTTGCTGGTTGTCGCGGCATATGTTTATGTCTTTCGGTTTAAAAAGCAAAAGAGATCATCTTCAACACCATCATCTGACAAGTAGTTTGCAGATTTAAGTGGTACTTGAACTTTCTCTATCATTTCTTTTGGGCATAAAGTCATACATATTATATGCATAATTGAACGCCATGTCTTTATCTATACGGGTTTATCTTTTAAGTTGTGGAGCTTCTTTTTCTTTGCATCTTTCATAAAAGAACTATTTATTGCAATAAATATGCATTGCCTTTTGGATGTTCATCAATGGATTAGGATCATTTTCCTACAAAATTCACTCAATTCCCTTGGTTCCAAATTAAAAAAAAAAACACTTTTGGGTTCATAATCTTACCATAATTCACTATCAAGGTAAGGAGACCCACTGTTTTCAAATGGTCTCCCGTAATAAATGATGGGATACAAAATCAAGTAAATTTAGTATGGGGGAGCATCCTAATTCAGAGTTTAGTACAGTAAAGGATGCTAATCTATAGGGGTCATTGTAACTCGAATTTAAAGCAACTAAATTGAAGATTAGGTGTGTGCCCAGTTCATCCCTCTCAACACGCCCAATTAGCAGAATCAAATTGGGGATCTTGTAGATTTTCCTCCTTAATTTAATATCAATCTCCTTACTAATGCTGCTGCTCTCATGTAGATGTGCCTCCATGACTTATTTCAAACACCTTGCTAATGCTACCCATGTAACAAGAATAGATGTTCATTTTATGCATTACTATGGGGAACTGCTCTATTCACGCCCTACATTGACTCTCTGCCTTTTGGACTGCTAAGTGCGTGATATGCATCTGAACTCTTTTACAATGTCTTATGGCCTTCTGTTGGTTGTCTCTTTTTAGTCTGTAAGACGGGTTCGCATAAAATTCTTATGTAGCCCACATATTTGTGTATAGACAGATATAATACATCCCCATCCACCCCAAACACCCCTTGACCCCCCTAACACATAGAGGGGCAAGCACAAAACCTCTGTTTGAGTAGCTCTAGATATTCATTATTGAATGCCAATGCTGCCTTTTACCTCTGAACACCGCAACACATATCATCCTACAATAATATAATGAGATACTGTTTAGCATCAAGTTCTTGTTGTGTATAATTATATGTTTAGTTGATTTTTTTTCTTTTTTATTTTTGCATTATGTTCACTCTAACAAACCTTCTTTGTGCTATTCAACTCCGAAGTTTGGTTGTAAATGATACTTCTGTAATTCTTTTTGACAATTAATACATTTTAGGCACAACTTAACTTACATTTTTTAGGCATGGGAACATATGATTGGTGCCATTTACTAGTCGGGATGATAGATTCAAATGGTGTAGTACATTGAGCGGAATATTTTTCCAATAAGAAGAAATCATTAGAAACTATAAAAATGGGGGGAGTCCGAAACTTGAGTACACACTCAAAGTACACAATGGTAGAAATATTAAAGGAACTAACGTCATAAGATCTGGTATAGTACACAACAATCATGATTCAAAATTACATATAGTGATCAAAGTGAAATCTCACAACAATACTCCATTTCAATCCTTCTATGAGAACAAGAACAGTTGACAACTGCGACCTCTTATTACAGGCTAGAGACAATGTCATATTAAATTATAAAGTTTTAGACTAGAACTGGTTAAGTAGTCAAGGTGTTTGCTATGTCAATGACAAACCGATAGCGGACATCCCCTTTCGCTAGTCGCTCCATAGCTATGTTCACATAGTTCATCGAAATAACTTCAACAGCTGCAGTTATATTGTGCTTACCTGCAAAATCTATCATTTCTTGTGTCTCCTTCATGCCCCCTGTCACACTTCCTGCTATAAGCTTCCTCCCTATAATTGAAAATTCACTTGGATCTCATCACAAGTGAATTCGACTTGGGCAAAAAAAATTTTTTGGACTTAACCAATCTTTCAACCATTATTGGTGAGCTTGACAGCATGCACCTATTAGTGACTTTGTATTTGTGTCAGAAATGTTTTCTTGTTTGAAGAAATGTCTTGAAACTATTTATGATATCAATCTTGTGAACATTACATTTAACTATTATCATGTCATTTGAACTTAGGTCCCTGTACGGATTTTTCATTAGTTCATAAATTCATTTATCCATTATGATCAGTTATTTACTTATTATTTCATTTACCACCAAAATTACTTTAGCTGAATCATATGATAACAAAAATTTATGATGCCTGGGAAATAGCCATACATTTTTTTCTCATCTGAAATCTGCTTTTAAACCCTTTCTTTCTATTATTTCTTTGTGCTGTGGGAAGAGAAAGGAAGAACGAGAAAGGGGGGGCTATGAACTTACCAAGAAGCAGAGGCAGAACAGACAATTCAACTGGCTTCTCTAAGTCTGGTGCCCCTAACATTATAAGCTTCCCATTACATTTCAAAAGATCAATCAAAGGTTGCAGAGCATGAGGCACAGAGACTGTATCAAGAATGCCATCCATTGTGCCCACAGCAGCCTGCATAATATAAAACACAACATAAAATTACACTTCACATAAGCAGATCTAAACCAAAGTATTATCATTACTTCTCACATCATCGTACAAAACCTTCACCTGCATTTGTTCCGGGTCACGGCTAACCAAAAATGAGTCAGCACCAAGTTGTTCTAATGCTTCCTCTTTTTTGCTCAGGGATGTACTTATCACCGTTACCTTCATACCAAAAGCCTTGGCAAACTTCACAGCCACATGCCCTAATCCACCTAGCCCTACCACACCCAAATGCTTCCCTGGCTCACTGAGGCCGAAATACTTCATAGGGCTATAAACTGCGATACCGGCACAAAGTAACGGGGCACCGCCTTCTGGTGAGAGGTTGTCGGGGAATCGGACAGCAAAGTGCTCGTCTACGACAAGGATGTTGGAATAGCCGCCGTAGTTTTTAGTTCCTTCCCTNATTAGAAACTATAAAAATGGGGGGAGTCCGAAACTTGAGTACACACTCAAAGTACACAATGGTAGAAATATTAAAGGAACTAACGTCATAAGATCTGGTATAGTACACAACAATCATGATTCAAAATTACATATAGTGATCAAAGTGAAATCTCACAACAATACTCCATTTCAATCCTTCTATGAGAACAAGAACAGTTGACAACTGCGACCTCTTATTACAGGCTAGAGACAATGTCATATTAAATTATAAAGTTTTAGACTAGAACTGGTTAAGTAGTCAAGGTGTTTGCTATGTCAATGACAAACCGATAGCGGACATCCCCTTTCGCTAGTCGCTCCATAGCTATGTTCACATAGTTCATCGAAATAACTTCAACAGCTGCAGTTATATTGTGCTTACCTGCAAAATCTATCATTTCTTGTGTCTCCTTCATGCCCCCTGTCACACTTCCTGCTATAAGCTTCCTCCCTATAATTGAAAATTCACTTGGATCTCATCACAAGTGAATTCGACTTGGGCAAAAAAAATTTTTTGGACTTAACCAATCTTTCAACCATTATTGGTGAGCTTGACAGCATGCACCTATTAGTGACTTTGTATTTGTGTCAGAAATGTTTTCTTGTTTGAAGAAATGTCTTGAAACTATTTATGATATCAATCTTGTGAACATTACATTTAACTATTATCATGTCATTTGAACTTAGGTCCCTGTACGGATTTTTCATTAGTTCATAAATTCATTTATCCATTATGATCAGTTATTTACTTATTATTTCATTTACCACCAAAATTACTTTAGCTGAATCATATGATAACAAAAATTTATGATGCCTGGGAAATAGCCATACATTTTTTTCTCATCTGAAATCTGCTTTTAAACCCTTTCTTTCTATTATTTCTTTGTGCTGTGGGAAGAGAAAGGAAGAACGAGAAAGGGGGGGCTATGAACTTACCAAGAAGCAGAGGCAGAACAGACAATTCAACTGGCTTCTCTAAGTCTGGTGCCCCTAACATTATAAGCTTCCCATTACATTTCAAAAGATCAATCAAAGGTTGCAGAGCATGAGGCACAGAGACTGTATCAAGAATGCCATCCATTGTGCCCACAGCAGCCTGCATAATATAAAACACAACATAAAATTACACTTCACATAAGCAGATCTAAACCAAAGTATTATCATTACTTCTCACATCATCGTACAAAACCTTCACCTGCATTTGTTCCGGGTCACGGCTAACCAAAAATGAGTCAGCACCAAGTTGTTCTAATGCTTCCTCTTTTTTGCACAGGGATGTACTTATCACCGTTACCTTCATACCAAAAGCCTTGGCAAACTTCACAGCCACATGCCCTAATCCACCTAGCCCTACAACACCCAAATGCTTCCCTGGCTCACTGAGGCCGAAATACTTCATAGGGCTATAAACTGCGATACCGGCACAAAGTAACGGGGCACCGCCTTCTGGTGAGAGGTTGGCGGGGAATCGGACAGCAAAGTGCTCGTCTACGACAAGGATGTTGGAATAGCCGCCGTAGTTTTTAGTTCCTTCCCATTCAAAGAAGGTGTAAGTGTTGATCGATTTGGGGCAATAGTTTTCTAAGTCATCCTGGCAGCTATTACATGAACCACAGGAGCCAACCATGCAGCCCACAGCTGTTTTATCTCCGACCTTGAATTTTTTCACCTTGTTGCCAACCTTGGTGACCACACCCACAATCTCATGCCTGTTTTTGAGGAACTAAGATGAGGTTAAGTATGTTACATGAAATTGAAAGTCACCACACCCACAATCTCATGCTAAAAATTGAAAGGACAAGAAATAAGTTGCTTCAAAAAACATACCCAGGAACCATAGGATATAAGGAAATTCCAACTTCATTTTTAGCCATGTGCAAATCAGAATGGCATATCCCACAATAGAGAATCTTCATTGTGATGTCATTCTCTCCATTGGCCCTGGGATCAAATAGCAAAACATTGTCAAAACTATGTATTGTGTGTGTGTGTCTCTAATTCATCCTGTTTCTTGTTACAAGCCAAAGCACATAAAGAGGCTTCATGGCCAATTAAATCTATAGATGATCAAAGCAAATGCTAATTTTAATCCTTCATATTTATCATCTCTTTCAGGTTTCGACCACTACCAAGACAATGGAAGTTACAGAAAAAAGAGAAGAAACTTCTGGTTTTTTTCTTGGTATGTGCAAAATGTAGCGAATCTATATGTGCTTCAACAAATCCTTTTTCACTGCTTGAATATTGTTAATTGGGTCTCAATTGAATGATGAACATATTCTTGGGGAGGTGTCCAAGCTTGAAATTTTTCTGGATTTGATAACATTATTTATGGGTGATTTTCAAGCGTTTGGCCCTCCACTTTCTATCTATATATTTTCCTACATGTCATCTGAAGACTAATCAGCGGCTGCCCCCCCTTTCCCCCACCACCAAGCCCCAGTGCACCTAAAAATATCGGAGCTCTGGATACATATTGGAATGTGAGGAATAATTTCAAAAGTACACGTGGACATTTTGTGAATCAACCTCTTCAGAATAGAGTAACGCTGCCTACCACTAACTTCAAAAAATGCACTGTTATGACCGATATGTTGGCACTTCTGCTAAGACACTATTCGAATACAGCCAGAATGAGTATATCTCTCTCTAAGTGAGTATGCAAACCTGCATTACTTGGTTTTACCAGGAAAAAGCTTGTGCAACAACCCCTAGATGCTGCCCCAATATTCCAGTTTGGGTTGCACGGGCTATAGTCTGGTTCAGGTTGTGTGGTGAAATGTGCTTGAATGCTTATGACTTTTGTATAAATTGTGATGGTTAATTCATGCATGCCATGCAACTCTCGAGTATTCAAGGAAATAGAAGTAGAAACAGAGAAATAGGAGTGAACAAGAAAGAGTTGTACCTTCTTGTAAAGTGGAATGGAGAGAAGATTCCTGAGGAATCTCTAACTGCCCATCCAAATGCTTTTTGTTTTTCCTCTTGTGAGTCTGATCCTGACATCTTTCTATGTGTTTGTCTGTTGGGTTTTTTTTTTCTGGTTGTTTGTTTGTTGGGGGGGGGGGGGGGGGGGG